TATAGATTCGTACTTGCTATAAGCCTGGATATAGCAAAAGCTTTCGACAGCGCATGGTGGCCATCGATTTTGCAGAGCTTGCGAGATAGGCAATGTCCCAGAAACATATATAGAATTTTTATTCATTACTTAAACAATAGAACTGCAGAGCTGTGTTATGGTGCTCACATTATGCGTAGAAATGTCGTTAGGGGTTGCCCTCAGGGCTCTGTATGTGGCCCTATCTTGTGGAATACTGTCTTTGACAACTTTTTAAGACAGAGCTTTGGCCACGTAACAATTGCTTATGCAGATGATGCAATCGTTCTTCTGGGGGGTNATCATGTTTAAACATGATAAAGTGGGCGCCACGGCTGGCTCGAATGAAGCGCAATCCGGAAGAACATTTTTCGACCACTTTATCGAGCAACTGGGGCCGTATATCGGCAATAACGCGGCGAATGTTGAGTAAACTTACATCCATTAAAAGTCACTGTTTAGTGCGCTTTATGAGCAGGTGGAATCATAGGCCCATATTTCTTTAAAGACGATGCCGGCCAGAATGTTACCATCAATGGAGAGCGCTTTTGGAGCCACGATTGCTGACTTCTTTATTCCTCAGTTGAATGGTATTGATGTGGCAGAGCTTTGGTTTCAACAAGATGGCGCAACATGCCACATAGCGCGCGACACCATCAATTTATTGCAGGAAACATACGACGAGGGCATAATTTCGCGTAATGGACCCGTGAACTGGCCTCCACGATCGTGTGATCTCACACCTATGGATTACTTTCTTTGAGGATATGCGAAGTTACTAGTCTACACCGATAAACCACAGACGTTGGACCACTTGGAAGTCAACATTCGCCGCGTTATTGCCGATATACGGCCCCAATTGCTCGATAAAGTGGTCGAAAGTTGTTCTTCCCGATTGCGTTTCATTCGAGCCAGCAATGGCGCCCGTATGCCCGAAATCATGTTTAAACACTAATGGCATAAAATTAGCTTTTAAATAAATCCAACACCATGGTTATTAACATTATTTTTACGTGTTTTATTTCATTTTAAATTTGTATACCTCTAAAACAACACCCTGTAAATTAGAATATTTGTATTACTGAGGATTATATTGTATCAGTACATTATTTTACAACATCATTTTAATTTCACATTTCCATGTTTACAAGTTAAACAAAAGAGCGGCCGGATGGCCGAGCGGTAAAGGTGGCAGCCCACCGCTCTGGGGAACTCGGGATCGAATCCGGACAGGGTCGAGAAATTCCCAGGAATTTTTGGGGGTCGTCCGACCGGATATGTCGGCCCCCGTCCCTCACCACCCGGTCACCCCATTGTGAGCCTGGCCGTACCCATAATGGGCTCGCAAAAAGAGGCCCTCGCCCTCTTAGTTCCCAGTTCCCACAGGGCGGAAGGAGTTAAGCAAAAGATTGCACGAAATCCAACGATTAAATACAGGCGCATATTATCTTAAAAAAGAAAGAATTAGCGCCGGAAGAACAGCCTTCGAAGATTAAAGATGACACACGAATTAATTAGTGAATCGTTCTAGATACAATATAAATAAACGAATTGACGTCACTGAAAATAAATATTGTCTGGTTCTTATCAAAAATGCGATTCACTGTTTCATTCGTTGGTAAATGTAAACGTCGTGTCGAAATCGTATAATTTCTTATAAACATTTCTTACATTCGCAATTATTAAATATCTAATTATTGTCTACGCAACGAAGGTTCGAGAATCATTTTTTTTACGTAATTAATTTTTAATATTCAAAATTGTCCGTGCACGAACTTTAAATGAATGGAAATCAAAAGGTTAGTACTTTTTGTTTTAATTTGTCTATTTTTAAATATTTCGCCCAGTGGGCACTAAGAGGCCTTTCTAGTAAGCCCATTAAGGGTTCGACCGGGATGTGAGGGATGGGACCGAACGTATTCATACGGGACTAACCCCGAAAAGTTCCTGGGTTTTCGACCCTTCCGAATCTCCTAGAGCGGTAGAGTGCCACCTTAGCCGCTCGGTCATCCGATCATCTTGACTTATCTTCTTTAAGATTTGTAGAAAGATATCGAAATTAATATTTTTATGATTCGAAACCGATAGAAACTGGTATATTTATGTAATTTTGCTCTGCGAACATTAAAAGAGATTCTCTATGTTCATTTTGAGTTCGGCCAGGTACGTAATGAACGCAACGGATGAAGAAGACATATTCAGGCAAATTAACCAGGAAAATTTCTAGGATTCGGGCCAGCACTCTAATTTGGTCCCGCAGAAGGGCAAACTGATATCTTTACCACATTGGCTTTTTAGCCACAAATGGTTGGATACTTAAAACTAATTAAAGTTTGTCCCTTCTTCCCAGCTTAATTATTAATTTACGACATACATTGCATCTAGGCAGGGGCGGATCTAGGTTTTTCGGGGCCTAGGGCTTATCGAAGTCCAATGGAGTCCCATTTTTTGTTAATACAAATAATACTATTAATTATCATTATTATTATANATAAACCGGGTAACCAGCTACGTCCGGTCATTGATAAATGTGGCTCCCCAACATTCTTGATTGAAAAGCAGTTAGTCAACTTCTTCCGTGCTAGAGATCACCTGCATCCGTTTTCTATTTCCAACTCACTGCAGCTGGTGGAGAGTCTCAGAGAAACAAAGCATGAAATTGTATATTTTTAATTATTAAAAGTTAAAAAATGAAGTAAATTAAAAATTTCCATTATTTCACCATAGAGTTAAGAACATATTCTTAAAAGTAAAGTTACAATGATATTTACATAGAAAATTAAAAATTGGCAAGATAATTTGTTAAAATACTTTCTTTATTTTCAAAATTATATTATTATACTTGACAACTTTTTAAAGCTTCATCCTCCTTGCAGGCAATAAGAGCGGAGAGCATAGATTATAGTGTCTAAAGGTTCTCCTCCCATAGGCACTAAGATGCCTATAGAAGATAGGCCTTGTTTCATGCTCATCATGGGTATGACAGATCTGCAAAAAAGCAGTCAAGTGGTGTGGGGCAAACCCAAATACCAGATTCAACCTTTTTCCAAAGGGTTTGTCACACGACGAATACAAATGTACTCGCACACAGTTATTTGCCGAGCATTGGTTCATTGTGGAAATTACAAATGTTTGTTTGTATAATTGTTCTTTGATTTACCACAATATATTGACAAGGAGTGAGAAACGGCGAATACCAAATATTTTTCAAGTAAATCATCCACACTACTCAGTATTGGTGCCAAATGTTTGCTAGGCATTTAGCAAATACCAATGCATGGACCACCTAAATGCAATAAGAGTATTTATCTCATAAAACATAAAAAAAGTATGGACAGCTACAAATTTTTCCACTCCATTATAATCTGATAGACACAACATTAATATATTTTATATACAATTTCTTTATATATAATGTTCTTGTTAATTCATAATCTGAATTATCACCTGAAATTTAATCCTAAATTACAAGGAATTAAAATACTAACATAAATATCACTTGAAATCTCATCATTTATCAGTTAAAACATGTGACAGCAATAATATTTTTATTATCATTTTTCTTATCATAAATTAATTTATTATGTCCTGATGAATTGATAATTTCTGTTATAACTGTGAGAAATTAATTTGACAAAAGTAATTTAGATAACAAGAGTATTGATAAGATGTCCTGTATAAATTCTTTTTGTCAAAAGTAGTTAATTTTCTCTTTGTATTTGTGTTTTTAATACACAACTTGAACAGTTTTCGTGCATAATTAATGTAAATGTGAATAATTTATGATGAGGAGTGACTAAATAATTAAAAGAAGTTGCGTTGTAAGGGATAGATTGGAATTGTTCATCTCTGCACAATGTGAGTAATCTGCAGGAGCCACAGAATTGTGGCTGCTGCGGGAGGAGTGACAATGGATGTGTCATAGTGAGCATAGGAAGAATTTGATTATTAGTTGGATGTGTGCCATGTGACACAAGGTGCATATTAAGAAATTGTAATGGGCAAACGTGAAATGTGGACATAACAACGCTTTCAGATGGTAATTAACATAATTATAATCCTTTAAACAGATAGCATTCTTTTTGGAAGACCCTGTATTTATATTTTTGGAAGACCCTGTATTTATATTTGGGATATTGATCATTAATTTCTAAGTTGTGCAGGATGCTTGCTTATAAAATAGGAAAAACAAGTCATAAACTACAAATTTTTAACTTGAAAAAGAAGAGAATTCAGTTTTTTGGTGTCAAATAAATTATATTTTTAATAAAGTGTACAATATTTCAAAATAACATCTTCGGGAAGATAAAGAAACCAGAATATGTGAATTGGAACACAAGACACGTTTTACGCAGTTTAATATTTAAAAATGGATGACGATAATTTACAATTTCAATCTCTAACCTCTTGTGTTTCTTAATAAATAATATGTAGCTGTTATTCTAATTAGTAAAGATCTTTCTAAATGTTATTTTAACTTTGTCATCATAAGGAAAACCTGTTAATATACAATTAAATAGGAGTAAATTCTTGTCAGAAAGTTTTTTTTTTCATTAATACAATCACATTAAACAAAACAATATATTGCTTTTGAATAAATAATAATTTCTACATCTTAAATTTTCTAATTGTTATTTTACAGCTACATAAAAATAAAAACCAAATTACATATTTAAGGATTTTGATGATATCAAGAGAAAGAATGTAACTTTATTACATCTACCTTTCTTTGATGTGTATTATATTTTTTAAAAATAAATTACAAAAAGAAAAGGATAGCATCTTTAATAAGTTTTTATCAATAAATTATTTAATATATAAATATATATTTTAAAAAACTTTTTAACAGAAATTTTAAAAGTCTCTAAACATTTTCTTTTTAGATTTTTTTATTGCTTTTAAATGTGGCAACAAAGTATGAAATTGTATATTTTTAATTATTAAAAGTTAAAAAATGAAGTAAATTAAAAATTTCCATTATTTCACCATAGAGTTAAGAACATATTCTTAAAAGTAAAGTTACAATGATATTTACATAGAAAATTAAAAATTGGCAAGATAATTTGTTAAAATACTTTCTTTATTTTCAAAATTATATTATTATACTTGACAACTTTTTAAAGCTTCATCCTCCTTGCAGGCAATAAGAGTGGAGAGCATAGATTATAGTGTCTAAAGGTTCTCCTCCCATAGGCACTAAGATGCCTATAGAAGATAGGCCTTGTTTCATGCTCATCATGGGTATGACAGATCTGCAAAAAAGCAGTCAAGTGGTGTGGGGCAAACCCAAATACCAGATTCAAACTTGAAAAGAACAGCATGATGATTGTCTTTACTGCTTCATCATCCATCCAATCCAATTCTTACAATTAAATTAAATTAATAATAATCAATTTAAATTCTCCAAAAATAAATTATTCTAATATAATAACTACATTTTGTTTAACCAAAATAATTACATTACATTATGTTAAATTTGTAAGCAATTGTTCAAAGTATTAAAACTTTTGTTAGTAAATTACAGTTAAAAATAATTGTATTCGCAACTCATTATCCTATTCCATGAATGCAATTTTAATAATTAAACTGTCAAAGTGACAAATGACAAAGTACAAAGTTATTAAAATTTTATTTCATAAAAATATTTGAATGATACTGTAACAAAGATTGTTATTTATTATTATAATACAGTCTTCATAAGAGAATTTAAACAAAAAAATTCGGTTTGTTTAATAATTTATAAATTAATACCATTTGTTGTAAAAATTAAGAGTCGTCCTTCTCTTCTTCTCGAGGCGTATCCTCCCATACGTACACTAAGTTCTTTGTTGCCGAGATCAAACAAGGTTTGGAAGGATGAGACGAGACGGAGTGTACCACTTTGCCGACGTGACTCAATTTTGCTTTGATGTTACTCTGAAAATAAATAGTATAAAAATACTTAAGCTTTTTTTATATCACAAAAATACTTTATTGTAGTCTTTTTTGTTTGATAATTCTTGCAAGCAGTAAGAGTGCTTTTTAATTGTGCCTGTCACAGTAGTCATGCTTACAAATGGAAAACCAGGTGATCAGGGATAGAGTGCGACACATCTAACTCAAACCCATGGTTCCCAGTCACAATGTGACAGATACCTTTAATATCTTGGTCATCTGGATGTTAACTTTATTGGAGTCAAAAATTATAACATCTTTCCAATCACTTTCACGAGAATTTAACATAAAAAAATCTTGGAAATCAACATAGAAACATGTTATTTATTGATTTTGGAATCCAATAAAGCAAGTTATTTTGTAAATTTTATAAAAGACTGCAACATTTTCTTGAATTTCTTTTACTTAATTATGTGTAATAATACTTCACTATTCAGCTAATTAACAATTCAAAAATTTCTTAATACTAAATTTACATATAATTATAAGAAAACTGCCAATTCTTGACGTTTTTTAAATTCCATTTCTACCTATAAAACATTTATTGGTATTTTTCAAGCTTACAGGAAGTCAACTTTTCAATAGATAATTATCCTTTATTCAATTGTCTTAGCTGTTCACAATGCAGTTATCAGAGACAATGAGCCATCACTACACAATGAAAGCTGTCATTGACACGACTGTTTGTGCTCTTATTATTTGATTATCTCCGACAGAAAAATGCACGAGTGCATTAAAACCGGTTGGAATTTTTCTATTATAATACATTTAACTCAACAGAATTAATGTGATTTTAATTGTTTAAATTCTTCTTTATTTTAATAAAAAGCAGCTTGACAAACAGCAAATTAACTTTTTTTGAATGAACATAAAACAATTTTAAAAAATTTTTCATCAATATATATTCATCGACAGATGAAGTTAAATATCACAATAAAGTTTGTTGTATTTATTATACCTAAATACAAGATCTGTATTTTGTAATTTGAAATTTGAATCTAAATGATATAAAGAGCAGTTGGAAAGTCAGCTTGAACCTCTCCTACACATCAGCATAAACATAACAATAACAAGCAGTTTGGAGTGGCTGCATGTTGTTATTTGCAACTCCGTTTCTTCCAACAAATTAGATTGAATGATGAATAATAATTAGGTTCGAATTGGTTTTAATTACTTGTAACTGATTTTTGTAACTGAACCTTCTTATAGATATAAAAATCTACTTGTAATTCTTTTGGATATATGCATCTTTACAAAATTGAGAATATTAATACTATTTTATATAATATATAATTATATATTTAAATTTCAAAAATAATTATTTGCAAATTTAATGTTTGAGCAATAAATTGTTACAATACTCACTCTAAAAAGCATTTAATGCAGTAATATTTCTTGATTGAAAATAATCATAAATGTGACAATGATATTCAGGAAAAATATGTTAGAATGTTATCTGAATTTACAGAATGCATTTAAAATCTTCACATTACTGCATTAAATGGTTTTTAGAGGAGGTATTTGTACAATTGAAGTTTGGAAAAGAATAATTACTTAAATTACATTGTTTGATAACAAAATTATTAAACAAAAAGCTTATTTTCTAACTGTAAATATTAAAATTTTTGTTTGAATTTTCTGATATTTATTCAAATACAGCATCAAGCTTTAATTGAAAATCATAATACAGAAGGTAAATATGATTTTTATGTGGCAGATAACCTATCCACATCTCTGCATCTAATGCAACTGCCAGTCTTGTTTGATTTGAGGAATATCATAAATAAAATATTATGCTTTCAATATGTTTACCAATAATTTCAATACTATTGCATAATTTATTGATAACTATCAAAAATTAATTTTAAACACAGTAAATTCACTCAATGCAAAGTATAGGGTGTTTTTTTAGAGGTATACGAATTTAAAATGAAATAAAACACGTAAAAATAATGTTAATGGCCATGGTGTTGGCTTTATTTAAAAGATAATTTTATGCCATTAGTGTTTAAACATGATTTCGGGCATATGGGCGCCATGGCTGGCTTGAATGAAGCGCAATTATGAAGAACAATTTTCGACCACTTTATTGAGCAACTGGGGCCGTATATCAGCAACAACGTGGCGAATGTTGAGTAACTTATATCCATTAAAAGTCACTGGTGTGCTTTATGGGCAGGTGGAATCATAGGTCCATATTTCTTTAAAGATGATGCTGGCCAGAATGTTACCATCAATGGAGAGCGCTTTTGGAGCCATGATTGCTGACTTTTTATTCCTCAGTTGAATGGTATTGATGTGGCAGAGCTTTCGTTTCAACAAGATGGCGCCACATGCCACATAGTGCACGGCACCATCAATTTATTGCAAGAAACATCCGATGAGTGCATAATTTCGCATAATGGACCTGTGAACTGACCTCCACAATCGTGTGATCTCACACCTATGGATTACTTTCTTTGAGGATATGTGAAGTCACTAGTCTACGCCGATAAACCACAGACGTTGGACCACTTGGAAGGCAACATTTGCCGCGCTATTGCCGATATACAGCCCCAGTTGCTCAATAAAGTAATCGAAAATTGTTCTTCCCGATTGCGCTTCATTCAAGCCAGCCATGGCACCCATATGCTCGAAATCATGTTTAAACACTAATGGCATAAAATCATCTTTTAAATAAAGCCAACACCATGGCCATTAACATTATTTTTACATGTTTTATTTCATTTTAAATTTGTATACCTCTAAAAAAACACCCTGTAGAAAAGCCAGTTTTTTTAACTTTGCATTCTCTGAAATTTTAGAGAAATTTTGTCAACTGTTAGAAATCAAGTGTTAAAGTCTACAAATTTCTATAAAATGCTGAATATTACTAGCAACTAGCAAATAATTTTTTTTCTAGTTAAATTTAAGGAGCCAAAAGATTCTCTCTTTATTCAATCCTATAAATAAAATTATAAAGTGTAGTGCAATTTAAACTTGTCCTCTTTATTTTGAAATCATATGATACATTACAATCATTACTTGCCATAATACATGTAGCCTCATGTTCCACATTTACTGCTGACCCTCAATTTTACAGACCCTTACATAACGAATTTCAGAAACAAATGCCTTGCAACCAGGCATTTTGTTCAGGCATCTTAAATAATACATGGGTAGGATAAAAAGTAATGCACATGTGCTTGTAGAACACAAACAAAAACAAATAGCAAGATCAGGCAAAAAGTACATTAAAGTACAATTCTTAAGCTTCAAAATCATATATTTATTTTTCAACAGTCACTGTTAAGGCTAACATATTTCTCCCAACATGTAACAAGTTTTTTCATTCTATCACTGAAAAATTCTTCCGACTTTTCTCAAATCCAGGACTTGACAGCTGCCTTCACCTCATCATCCAAGATGTAATGATCACCCTTGAGGTCTCTCTTGAGTAGAGGAAAAAACTAAAAATCGCAAGNTTAAATTATTTATTGTTGCAGTAATTTAATTAACAAACAAAAATTGTACAAAATTACAAGCATAATTATACATAAACTTGTATTTGTACTCGACTCGACCTTGTTATTAAGTAACAAGGTCGAGTATTCAATATTTCGCAACACATTTTATAATTAAAACTTACTTCGACTAAGTCCCAGCAATAAATTATTCCATCTTCAGATCCCGAAAACAAATGGTCGTCATTTTCATTTAGACAACTGTCTATTCGATATTCTTCATTTTTGTGGCCTGTATATCTAAAATAACAATGTTTTAATTATTTACTTAAACTTTTTTCTTAATTAACTAGGAAATTACACAAATGATAGCTATGCCATCCTCATTTATGTATATTAACTCGGTATGGCAAAATTTTGGAAAATATGGCTCTTCAAGTTATTAAATTAGCTTGGCTTGCTATCATTTGTACTTAAGTACAATGGTAGTTTCTCAAATCCAGGACTTGACAGCTGCCTTCACCTCATCATCCAAGATGTAATGATCACCCTTGAGGTCTCTCTTGAGTAGAGGAAAAAACTAAAAATCGCAAGGCACAAGATAGGGGGAATAAGGAGGGTGTGGAATCAGTTCAAACTTCAGGTTTCGCAGAGCCTCTCCAGTTGCGTGCGAGGTATGTGGATGAGCATTGTCATATTGCAAGATTATTGGCGCCAGGCTACTTCTAACATGAAAAACTCAACGTCGGAGTGTTTTAGAGTCAGTATGTACTGAGAAGAATTAAACATTGCAACAAGAGGCAATGGTAATTGTCTGTGGCAGTTATCGGATGTCCGCTACATGTTTCATCAATAAATATGGCTTTTCCAAGCTCGCAACCACAAAATTTTATCATCCATCGATTTGCAGTAGACCTATCAACAGCATCGTCACCATAAACAGCTTATGCTTCCAACACAATAAAGTGCTATAAATTAAGACACTTGGCGGGTTTTCTCATCTTTATTTAGTTGACCATATCATCAAAACCATAAACAGCCTTTAAATGACAATGAATCTCAGTAGGAGTCACTTTTTCAGCAGTTAAAAATTCGATAACAGCATGCTGTTTAACTCGCATTGACGTAGCACTAGAACATGTCTCCATATTTCTACTTCTCAAAATATACTGAATGAACGCAACAACCTCAAACTGTGCATGCACATAGAGGGGCAATGTTACTTCCATATACCACCTGGCGCGCTTCTGAAAATCATTTTGTCCACACTCTACAAGCATGTGTGCATTACTTTTCAGCCTACCCTTGTATATTTCCAATTAATTCTAAATCGGAAATACATTATTTAAGATCAGACTTTAACTGTTAATTTGTGGACTGTCCAGTAGACAACATACAGAAAGTTATTATTTAAAGTGAGGTGTTTGTTTGTCAGTTATATCCCATGTAAAGACTTGCAGTTGACAAAGAAATCTTTGAATACAAATAATGGACACTTATATTATTGGATCAATGCTTCCCCTGTTATCTTATTGTATTGAGTGTTAAATAATATAATGTATCATGCATATTTTCTATCAATTCAACACCATAAAAGATTTAAGGATATTATTATTTTGTCACTGCCAAGCGATAAATTACAGTCGACCCCCCCTATAACACGGGTTCCTATAGTTCAGATTCCTATATGACGGCGAAAAAATTAAGATGGTATCCATACAAACATAGTAAAAAAACTCCTATAATTCGGCAAAACATCATCGGGCAGCCGAACTACTTTCTGCCATCCCGTGCCACGCTAAGGAGAGTTTAGGTGGGTAAATTGAGTTTACTATCATCTGTACAGTATTATATATAAATTAGGTACTGTATATATAATTATATATTTAAATTTCAAAAATAATTATTTGCAAATTTAATGTTTGAGCAATAAATTGTTACAATACTCACTCTAAAAAGCATTTAATGCANGATTTGCAGAGGGAGAGATGCCTTCCGACAGGTCTTTTTATGGGAAATTGGCGCTATTGAAAGTGTTACAAATGTGATGGAAACCCGAAAAACTCCACCCGGCCGGTGCGTTGGCGAGGCGCGAACCCACTACCCACTACTAGTGTTGGATAGTGTTTTGCACTTGGCCACAGGTGGGCTTTGAAAGCATAAGTTCCTAGATAAATAGAGTAGCAAATATCTATGATACCCCGATTCCCCATATTTAGTCTAATTATTGTTCTATTAAATTTTATAACGATACGATACATTATATATTTTTAAAAACTTATGTTAAGATGTCGTTAAATAACATACATAAAATCATAAATAAATATTTCGTAAATAAGTAATAAATAAGAACTACACTTAATATGGTTAAATATTAAGAAGGACTAAAGACGGTGGCAATCACTTCGAATATGGTAATTCGACGCTAAAATATCATTCGTGCTATTCACACTTTATTACGACAAAAAGTATTGAATTATGACGTATTTCCAGTAAATTATTCATAATTAATACTTTTATTATGTATTATTTTCAAAATAATCATTTTTAAATAAAAATTTTGACCAATTTCCGAAACGGATTAATCCAAGTATTTTCAAAATTATAGATGCTACTCACATATAGGGTATTTTTTTAGAGGTATACAAATTTAAAATGAAATAAAACACGTAAAAATAATGTTAATAACCATGGTGTTGGATTTATTTAAAAGCTAATTTTATGTCATTAATGTTTAAACATGATGATGTTTAAACATGATTCATGTTTAAACATGATAATGTTTAAACATGAAACACTTTATCATGTTTAAACATGATAAAGTGGGCGCCACGGCTGGCTCGAATGAAGCGCAATCCGGAAGAACATTTTTCGACCACTTTATCGAGCAACTGGGGCCGTATATCGGCAATAACGCGGCGAATGTTGAGTAAACTTACATCCATTAAAAGTCACTGTTTAGTGCGCTTTATGAGCAGGTGGAATCATAGGCCCATATTTCTTTAAAGACGATGCCGGCCAGAATGTTACCATCAATGGAGAGCGCTTTTGGAGCCACGATTGCTGACTTCTTTATTCCTCAGTTGAATGGTATTGATGTGGCAGAGCTTTGGTTTCAACAAGATGGCGCAACATGCCACACAGCGCGCGACACCATCAATTTATTGCAGGAAACATACGACGAGGGCATAATTTCGCGTAATGGACCCGTGAACTGGCCTCCACGATCGTGTGATCTCACACCTATGGATTACTTTCTTTGAGGATATGCGAAGTCACTAGTCTACACCGATAAACCACAGACGTTGGACCACTTGGAAGTCAACATTCGCCGCGTTATTGCCGATATACGGCCCCAATTGCTCGATAAAGTGGTCGAAAGTTGTTCTTCCCGATTGCGTTTCATTCGAGCCAGCAATGGCGCCCGTATGCCCGAAATCATGTTTAAACACTAATGGCATAAAATTAGCTTTTAAATAAATCCAACACCATGGTTATTAACATTATTTTTACGTGTTTTATTTCATTTTAAATTTGTATACCTCTAAAACAACACCCTGTAAATTAGAATATTTGTATTACTGAGGATTATATTGTATCAGTACATTATTTTACAACATCATTTTAATTTCACATTTCCATGTTTACAAGTTAAACAAAAGAGCGGCCGGATGGCCGAGCGGTAAAGGTGGCAGCCCACCGCTCTGGGGAACTCGGGATCGAATCCGGACAGGGTCGAGAAATTCCCAGGAATTTTTGGGGGTCGTCCGACCGGATATGTCGGCCCCCGTCCCTCACCACCCGGTCACCCCATTGTGAGCCTGGCCGTACCCATAATGGGCTCGCAAAAAGAGGCCCTCGCCCTCTTAGTTCCCAGTTCCCACAGGGCGGAAGGAGTTAAGCAAAAGATTGCACGAAATCCAACGATTAAATACAGGCGCATATTATCTTAAAAAAGAAAGAATTAGCGCCGGAAGAACAGCCTTCGAAGATTAAAGATGACACACGAATTAATTAGTGAATCGTTCTAGATACAATATAAATAAACGAATTGACGTCACTGAAAATAAATATTGTCTGGTTCTTATCAAAAATGCGATTCACTGTTTCATTCGTTGGTAAATGTAAACGTCGTGTCGAAATCGTATAATTTCTTATAAACATTTCTTACATTCGCAATTATTAAATATCTAATTATTGTCTACGCAACGAAGGTTCGAGAATCATTTTTTTTACGTAATTAATTTTTAATATTCAAAATTGTCCGTGCACGAACTTTAAATGAATGGAAATCAAAAGGTTAGTACTTTTTGTTTTAATTTGTCTATTTTTAAATATTTCGCCCAGTGGGCACTAAGAGGCCTTTCTAGTAAGCCCATTAAGGGTTCGACCGGGATGTGAGGGATGGGACCGAACGTATTCATACGGGACTAACCCCGAAAAGTTCCTGGGTTTTCGACCCTTCCGAATCTCCTAGAGCGGTAGAGTGCCACCTTAGCCGCTCGGTCATCCGATCATCTTGACTTATCTTCTTTAAGATTTGTAGAAAGATATCGAAATTAATATTTTTATGATTCGAAACCGGTAGAAACTGGTATATTTATGTAATTTTGCTCTGCGAACATTAAAAGAGATTCTCTATGTTCATTTTGAGTTCGGCCAGGTACGTAATGAACGCAACGGATGAAGAAGACATATTCAGGCAAATTAACCAGGAAAATTTCTAGGATTCGGGCCAGCACTCTAATTTGGTCCCGCAGAAGGGCAAACTGATATCTTTACCACATTGGCTTTTTAGCCACAAATGGTTGGATACTTAAAACTAATTAAAGTTTGTCCCTTCTTCCCAGCTTAATTATTAATTTACGACATACATTGCATCTAGGCAGGGGCGGATCTAGGTTTTTCGGGGCCTAGGGCTTATCGAAGTCCAATGGAGTCCCATTTTTTGTTAATACAAATAATACTATTAATTATCATTATTATTATATTATTAACATTAACTATCTTTTACTATACGATAAGTGCTTATTGTTAATGAAAAAAATATATTAAAAATTTATAATGATAATTCAATTTTTGTGGGCCCTTGACACTCGGGGGCCCAGAGCTTAAGCCCTATTATCCCTATGTAGATTCGCCCCTGCATCTAGGAAAACTTTCCCACTCAACGTAGAGGGAAATAATGTGATTTTTCACACCAGAGAGTTACTAAATCTATGTACGAAACTTATCTGTAAGTCTATGTAAACCGGAGACACGCACGAAATTTTAAAAAGATGCCGACACAATGCTTTAACACGAACTACAATCGTGCTGACGTCATTACGGTCCTTGTCTTTTCTACTTCATTCTAATTCCGCCGGGTGACGTCAATTCTATGGTTAAAAAAACATACGGTCGACGTCATAACAATTTCTTCTCGACGTCATTCGTGAATGGATCCCAAAATAAAATTAATTTTCGTTAAAAAACGAGTTTCGATTTTTACGCGATTTAAAAAATTGAGTAGACGGCAATCTCTAACCCGAAATGAAACTTAATTACGTCATTCCGTCCTTCGCCGATCGTCAACATCCGGTGCAGTTGCACCCGGATTGCGTCGAAGTGCGTGCTATCCCATCAGCCCGTAGTCGACCTTAGTGCATGTGTACCGAAGTGACTCGATTACAATGGAGAAGATTCAAAAAATTGTTTATATTCGAATTATAAGTTAGTTTTCATCATTGTCATGAATCCTTGTAAGTTTTTAATAATGTTGTCATTCCCTTTTAACCTAAAAATTCGGAATTTAATGCTTTTTATATGGAAATTCGTAGAAAATTGGTCGACATCGTTCTTCTCGATCGAAAATCTCGACTATAAATCGTCCGGAGATTCTTTTTTTTTTTATTTTTAGGTCGTAAGGTCCTCGTTCTTGCATCTTGTGCAACGTTCAGACGTGTGTTTCGACATTCGACGTCATAAATCTCGTGACAATTCAAAACGAAAGTCGACCCTTCTCGGTCTATGGCTTATTACTGAAGTGTCACCACCACAAATGCATAGAATATTGTCAGTGGCGCTCGACAAAGAAAAAGGAGAAAAATGGAAAATTTTCCAGAAATATTTTCCTAATAAAAATTCGTTCTTTTATATGTATCGGTGCTTCTCAAAGTGGGTGATGTTGCTCCCTGGGGACATTAAGTGTGATAGGAGGTGATATAGATGATAAGCTTTTCGCTGCCTACCCCTGTTTTGTGTATGCGGGCCCTCGCTCCCGTGTACGCAGTGTCACGATCGAGGGCGACGGTGATCCAAAAAGTTTGAGAAGCACCGATTTATATTGTGTCGTGTCTTCTATGTGGTCGTGTAAGGTGAGGGATTTTATTGAATTTGCATTAAAAACGATTTTATTCGTTTGACCTGGCTCTCTCCGAGGTTAAATTCCGAGTCCGCTGCCGAATGTAGTTGCGGTGTATTAAAATGCAAAATAAATTATAAATTTAATTCAAATCTTTGTTATTCGGAAGTATTAATGCTTTGCTTTGTTAAATTTTCAATAAATTTTTTAAATGGGAAAAAAAGTGGAAAAAATTTTTATGTTAAATACCATTGGCATCCAAACAGAATTGTAGATTGTCTCTTTATAAGCCAGAAAACTAGAAGTATTACGGGTCTAGGAGTAACCCTTCCAGAGATTTTGTGCACCAAAATTTTCTCTGACCATTTGTAGATGCTCGAAAAATGGTTTCTTTTTACTGGTTCCTTTTGACTGTTTGCTAGAAAGAACCTGATAATTCATAGGTTATGTGGTGACCTTGGAGCAAAAATGATCTGCATGAGTAAATCCTAATTTTGATATAATTAATGAGAACTTTTGCACACTATTTCCCACATTTTCTTCTTTTCGGTCAAGTTTGACTTGGATCTGTATTGCATTTATATAAAGTGGTTGCTTTTAAGCAAACTCCATGTACTAAGGCTATAACACCAAAAACCAGACTTGGATTGCTCTTGCTCTGAGATTGCCATACATAGTATATTGTGGAAGGTCATAACTTGTGAAGGGTCACTTCCTAATTATAGTTTATTTGAGAATGTAAAATAAGCCAACAAGAGCCGAAAAATGTGCAGATTATTCAGATGCCAATAGTTTTGGCAGACAAACTCCTAACAATAGATACTCCTGTGGGTACAGTGAACAATAATCCTCGTTAAATTCTTTAAATTTTTCAAATATATGTGCCAAAGTGGAATTTGAACCAATAATTTGGTAAATAAGGGAGGAAAGTTTTAAAAAACTAACTTTTATTAGAAATTATTCAGTTCTGGTTGATAAATTTATAAAAATCTGAAACCTGTTGAGTCTAAAAAATGGCTTGTCAAAGCATTATAAAAGTTAAAAGATGAAAAATTAGAATAATTAGAGTCATATTAATGATTAATTTGATATAAAATTGTAGAATTTTTGATTGATTGGAAACAATTAGATTTATTTTGTAACATGTGTTGACAATATATATATATTGAATATGTAGTTGTACAGTACATATGTTTTTTAGTATGTCAATCAAACTATATTAAAAATTAAGCTACTATATTTTTTTTTTTTAACATTTTCATTCTTTAAATGTTGCTTTTTGTAAGATTAAACATCTAAAATAAATTTGATAGATAACTTTTAAGAACAGATTTCTTATACATTTAATAATTTAAAAATCAAGTTGTAGGTCTTTGGTAAATTAATTGGAAGTTAGAATGAAAACTTTATTCAAAAAATTATTTTGAATAAAGTTTTGAAAGAATACAATGTTAATTTCTGTTGTTAAAATAGAGAAAAGTTCTAGTAGAAAATAGAGTCAAATGTTGCAATATTTATATATTCATTATAGTGGCCAGATGGCCAAGGAGGTCCTACCACTCCGGGGACTCTGAATTAAATCCCAGCAGGACAAAAAATCCTGAGAACTTTTTTGAGGTTCGATCTGTTCTGGATATGTCATGTTTCATTTTTGCCAGGTGGCTGCCTGTTAGGTCTAGCCAAATCCACATTGGGCTCAAAATAAAGCCATTGTTGGTGTCCACAGGACAGAGAAAGTAAAAATATATGTATTTTTTATATTTAGTATAATGAAATTGAATATCTTTTCACTATAATAATAATAACATACTGTACAACGTACAGGTAGTAGTGAATACGGGCACGTCAATTTACAAATGTATGTTACAGCAAGTATACCTGATGGACCTTCTGATTAGTCTAACATGTTGCAGTGATATTTTTGATAAAACAAGAAAAAGAAATTTTTAGATTTCCTTAAAAGCATATTTTAAAAGAAGTGGAAAGGCTAGTAGTTTATTAGATCTTTTTTCGTCTACTTCAACTATACTTTGTCATTTATCTGAAAGTGGGATTCTAAATCAGATTATAAAACTTGGAGATTGTTTATTAATGGTAAATAAGTGTATGTTCTTTTAATTTCACTATTACTTTTATTTTCTTAAATAATTAAGTTTTAACATGCAACAAACAAAAATATAAAATGAATTATCCCTATGAATGAATTTTGTAGAAAAATACCTGTATTATTTGGTTTAAAAATCTACAGAAACATCAGCAAATAGAATATAAAATGTTTTATTCATAGTTCTCAGATATGTAAAAAATATGAAAACATTGTAATTAGCACTAGGATTAATAAATTAATATAAAATCCAAAGTAGTTTTAATTAATAGTAATATTATTAATTAAAATTATGTAAAGCAAGATACATGATAAATGAAATCCATATCTATCTAAATTTTTATGGAAGAAAATGATATAACCAGATAAGTCTTTCAAATTTCTCTGAAATATGAAAATAAGCACCTTTCTTCCTTATGGAGAGGAATTTGATGTACAGTACAAACTGATGCAGTACATTATACTAAAATTCTATAATGTTGGTCTTTGTTAAACAGACCATGATTTTTGCAATTTTAATAAATTTTCATGATTTTTTAAGATTAAAGTATACTTAAATCATACAAGTATGTCTTTTATACATTTAGAAACTCGATAACTCATTAATCATACAGACAGTCCCTGACTTATGATTGAGTTCCATTTTTGTCTGTTTTTAAATTGAATTTTTAGGTAAGTCAGGAAATTTATATATAGTTGGTATTTATTATCAGTTAATCAAATGTTCGGCTTAGTATATACAAGAAATCTTGATTAGTTCAAAATTCAGGGGACGAAATAATTGCAAATTTGAATTATCGAGTTTCAATTTATCCAAGATTTACATGTTTTTGTACAATATGCCAAATGACA